CCTCAAAGACAACAACTACCTGCCTTACCCCATCCACCAAGTGCGCCACATGGCCTTCCAGCTGTGCCAGGCCGTCAAGTGTGAGTGTGGCGGGCCAAGGCGGACTCTGGGGCAGCCCCCCTCGTTGGACTTCTTCTGTCTCAGCTGTGCGCTGGGGAAGCCCCTAAACAGCTTGCTCACCTGTGGTTCTTTGATTCACTGTCAAGCTGACACCTCTTCTGACTTAGCTCCCTGACTAATGTCTTCGCCCTCACCGATCGCTCTCACTCAACATCCAGACAGACAGGAGCTGGACAAAGCCTTTGAAATCAGAGCACTTAGATGCCTCTTTTTCCCTTCGTTCCCCTTCCTTGGGAAGTGTAAGGCAGGCAGCAAGCACAAAGAGACAAAGGAACACCTCAGACTGGAGGATTATTTGCTTCTGAGCTGAGATGCTCTCCATTCCCAGTGAAGCAGGTGGGAGCAGGGAGCAGTGCAGCCAGGGGCCAGGTAGGGAACCCGGACCAGCACGTAGATCTGCTTTGGGCTTCACGGTAGGACAGTTCTGCAGAGTTGGATTCCTAGGCTGTCAGATACGCCCATATGTCAGAGTCAGTGCAGAAATAAAGCCATAGCAAACTGCATAGTCGACAATTAGCATATCTTAGGTTACTAAGCGCAGGTCATCTTAGATCAGGCTTCTCATTTGGACGTAGAGCAGAAAGCAACCTAGTGACCTGCACCTGCCTCCTCCCCAGCGTTGAGCTAGGTGACCAAGCCCGGGGACAGCCGGGGCCAGTTAGCCCTGGCTGCCTGCACCAGCCCTGACCTGGCCTTCTCCCCTGCAGTCCTCCATGATAACAAGTTGACACACACGGACCTCAAGCCTGAAAACATTCTGTTTGTGAATTCAGACTATGAGCTCACCTACAACCTGGAGAAGGTAAGGCGGCCGGCGGGGACAGGCCGCTGTGCCTCCTCGCCCTTCTCTCAGCCCTGTCTGTCCTGGCACGCCTTTCTCCCACATTTTCTCCCCATCGTGCTCTGACCGAGTGAAACCAGAGTGCCGGAGTAGATTGCAAGGGGGAGATGGAAGAAACTGGAGAAAGGACCGCAGATAACTTTCCAGTCGAGTGGAAATGCCCCTAAGTTTCTCGCTTGAACGTCCTCCCCTTTTTTGTAAGGAAAGATCAGCTTCCTGGCTAACGAACGAGGCGGTGGAGCTCTCACCCAAGGAGGCCCGCCCTCCCCCCTCCCCGCCTTCCCCAGGCTCTCGGGCTTGGTCTCCAGATGAGGAGACTCCGTCCAGTGGTCATTCCCAACCCGTTTACCCCCCCAGCGGCTACGCTGCTCTGCCGAGGGGCGAGGCTGCGACAGGAGACTTGGCATGTGTGGGAACAGGCAGGAGGTCACAGTGGCTTTTTTAAGGCTCAGAGGCTTCAGAGAAGAGTGGTGGCGTCTCGGCCCGTGTGCAGCGGGTCACCCCCTCCCTGTTTGCGCCTAGAAGCGGGACGAGCGCAGCGTGAAGAGCACGGCCGTGCGCGTGGTGGACTTCGGCAGCGCCACCTTTGATCACGAACACCACAGCACCATCGTCTCCACTCGCCACTACCGAGCGCCAGAGGTCATCCTTGGTAAGAGGGCACAGTTATCCCGGCGGGTGTGGGGTTAGGGTGGCACCCCCTAAGCCTCATAACGCCTCTCCCTCTCGTTCATACCCAGAGTTGGGCTGGTCACAGCCCTGTGACGTGTGGAGCATAGGCTGCATCGTCTTCGAGTACTATGTTGGCTTCACCCTCTTCCAGGTAAGTGGCGGGTGCCCGGGTGAGCACCGGTGTTCTGCTCCCGGCTCTCCGTGTTGCCCGCTCGCTCCTCCACCCTGTCTGCCTGCCTAGCAGCGATCCCTCAGCGTCCCCTCCCCGGCTCTCCTCCCCAGACCCACGACAACAGAGAGCACTTGGCCATGATGGAAAGGATCCTGGGCCCCATCCCTTCCCGGATGGTCCGGAAGACAAGGTGAGCCTCGAGCGGGGGGCTCACCTTTCTCCCTCCCTCTCCACAAAATTGGTCTACATCACATCATTCTCTTTTTTCTTTGACACCTTCCCTCCCCCCAGCTCCTCTCAGATGGGGGAATAAGGGAATTATCCCACACCAAGAGGAACCTCCTGATTCCTCAACCTCCCCTTCCCCTCTAGGAAGCAGAAATATTTTTATCGGGGTCGCCTGGATTGGGATGAGAACACGTCGGCCGGGCGCTATGTTCGAGAAAACTGCAAACCGCTGCGGGTGAGCCAGGCTGGGAATCAGTAGTGTCCACCACCCAGAGGTGCTTTGCTTCTGGAATGCATTTCACAAGCAGAGGGTTAGGACAGAAGGGGAGGAAAGCTGAAAGAAGACATCTTTGGTTAATGGAAGAGAGAGAAGAGGGAGCGGTTTTGCTGGGGGAAGGTTAGACAGCCATGTCTTTCTCGAGCCCTCCAGAGGTCAAAGCCATGTTCTGGATTCCTTGGGTCAGGCGGGAAAGAATAAACTACCTTTGAAGCACCTACAGTAAAATGAGGAGCTAAAGAAGGTTCGTGAAGTTGACAAGGATATACAAGTAGAAAGGAAGAACTTTCAAAGAGTGTGAACGAGTCATTATGCTAGGGAAGGTGGGTTAGGCCGTAAGATCAGAAGCTTCGGCTGCCATGTGGCCGTGGTCGGGTAGCGTCCATAACAGCTGCCCGCAGAGCCTCGGTCCTCCCAGCCGGAAGCTAGGGCCTTGGAGAAGAAGGCGGGGTTTGCGAGGCGCCGCGCCTCACCTTTCTCCCGCCCTCCACCACCAGCGGTATCTGACCTCAGAGGCAGAGGAACACCACCAGCTCTTCGATCTGATCGAAAGCACGCTAGAGTATGAGCCTGCTAAGCGGCTGACCTTGGGCGAAGCCCTTCAGCACCCTTTCTTCGCCCGCCTCCGGGCCGAGCCACCCAGCGCCAAGTTGTGGGACTCCAGTCGGGATATCAGTCGGTGACGATCAGACCCTGGGCCCCCCTGCATGTCTGACAGCAGTGGGCGTCCAGTCCAGGACACTGGTGCTTTTTTATACAAGAGAACAGAGCCGGAGCCCACTCCTTCCTCCTGGCTCCCTGTGTATCTGTGAATATGTGAAGTAGTGTAAATACGAGAGCTTGTGCCCTGCCTTGTACATAATCCCGTTCCATTCCACGCTCTCCCACCCTCACTTGCCCCTTCCCAGTTGAGTCGGTCGGGGGCAAAATGAGGTAACCAGGTGGCATCCATCCCATGTTTTATAAGGAATTTTGTACAGTCTTTGTGAAATAAAATGACGTGCTTCGACCTGCATCCCTGGAGTTTGAGGTTTGGGGGCGCTGGGTGGAGGCATGAGAGAAGACTGGCGACCTTTCTGAGTCTGGATGTGAAGGGCGTCCGGTCTTACCCTCCAGAGTCAACTAGTTAATGCCCCCAGTGTATCCGGCGTCTCGGGAGGGTGAAGAGATGACATTTCCTGCGGGTCAGGGAGGAGAAGGGTCATAAGGCGGCACGCCTTTCACCCGGAGTAATGACGGCTGGGAAAGGTCCGACTCCAGCAGCCGTTAGGCCGGGCCCAGGCGAGAGCCAGAAACGCGACCCGAGGAAACATGGTCAACCGAGCTCCCGGGAGGCCGCCGCGCTGGATTCCTTGGGTCAGGCGGGAAAGAATAAACTACCTTTGAAGCACCTACAGTAAAATGAGGAGCTAAAGAAGGTTCGTTTCGTGAAGTTGACAAGGATATACAAGTAGAAAGGAAGAACTTTCAAAGAGTGTGAACGAGTCATTATGCTAGGGAAGGTGGGTTAGGCCGTAAGATCAGAAGCTTCGGCTGCCATGTGGCCGTGGTCGGGTAGCGTCCATAACAGCTGCCCGCAGAGCCTCGGTCCTCCCAGCCGGAAGCTAGGGCCTTGGAGAAGAAGGCGGGGTTTGCGAGGCGCCGCGCCTCACCTTTCTCCCGCCCTCCACCACCAGCGGTATCTGACCTCAGAGGCAGAGGAACACCACCAGCTCTTCGATCTGATCGAAAGCACGCTAGAGTATGAGCCTGCTAAGCGGCTGACCTTGGGCGAAGCCCTTCAGCACCCTTTCTTCGCCCGCCTCCGGGCCGAGCCACCCAGCGCCAAGTTGTGGGACTCCAGTCGGGATATCAGTCGGTGACGATCAGACCCTGGGCCCCCCTGCATGTCTGACAGCAGTGGGCGTCCAGTCCAGGACACTGGTGCTTTTTTATACAAGAGAACAGAGCCGGAGCCCACTCCTTCCTCCTGGCTCCCTGTGTATCTGTGAATATGTGAAGTAGTGTAAATACGAGAGCTTGTGCCCTGCCTTGTACATAATCCCGTTCCATTCCACGCTCTCCCACCCTCACTTGCCCCTTCCCAGTTGAGTCGGTCGGGGGCAAAATGAGGTAACCAGGTGGCATCCATCCCATGTTTTATAAGGAATTTTGTACAGTCTTTGTGAAATAAAATGACGTGCTTCGACCTGCATCCCTGGAGTTTGAGGTTTGGGGGCGCTGGGTGGAGGCATGAGAGAAGACTGGCGACCTTTCTGAGTCTGGATGTGAAGGGCGTCCGGTTTTACCCTCCAGAGTCAACTAGTTAATGCCCCCAGTGTATCCGGCGTCTCGGGAGGGTGAAGAGATGACATTTCCTGCGGGTCAGGGAGGAGAAGGGTCATAAGGCGGCACGCCTTTCACCCGGAGTAATGACGGCTGGGAAAGGTCCGACTCCAGCAGCCGTTAGGCCGGGCCCAGGCGAGAGCCAGAAACGCGACCCGAGGAAACATGGTCAACCGAGCTCCCGGGAGGCCGCCGCGGCCCGCTGGGCTCCCGTCGTGCACTTCGGGAGGATGGGACGCGCCGGGATTCTGACGCGCAGCCTGCTGGGAGGTGTAGTTCGTTAGAGGGGCGGTGTCACGTGTGGGAAGGGGCGGTGCTTGGCCAGCGGGACCGGGTTAAAGGGGTCACGTGGGGCATTTCCGCTTTGCCTGTGGCTCAGACGCAGGCGCAACCCACTGCTGCTGCGGGGATCCTTGTGACCCTTCCGGTGGGTACAGCCAATCCGTGCACAGAGAAGCGGGGCGGACCGACGCGAGCGGAGGGAGCGCCGAGAGCCGCCGCCGCCACTGCCGCGGCAGGGGCGTGGAGGGCAGGGGGCGGCCTAGGCCGCGGTGCAAATATGGCTCACAACAGAGACGGTGGGAACCCGTTCGCCGAGCCCGGCGAGCTTGACAACCCCTTTCAGGTGACTTGCGCCGGCCTCCTGTGGGCAACTGGGTTGACTCTTCTCGGTCCTGGGTGATGGGGCTAACTCGTATTCTCATGAGTGCCATTTGATCCGTGGAAGGCCTGCCACGTGGGGGTGACGGCGACTCCAGACCAGTGAGCACCCGGGGGCGTGGGCCTGCCCAGTCCCTGCACGGAGCTGGTCCTGGCAGTGTGGGTTGAAGGATTTGGATCAAATGTTGGGACAACAGCGTGGCCCCCACAGTGCAGCCCTTGGAGCCACAGGCAGTTTCGAAGAGGCCCCTGTAAGGTCCCCCCAGAGGCACTGGGTGCCAGCTGAGCCCCCAGGTCTCTGCCCGCAGGACCCAGCTGTGATCCAGCACCGACCCAGCCCGCAGTATGCCACCCTTGACGTCTACAACCCTTTTGAGATCCCGGAGGTGAGGTTCTGGAGAGCACAGAGTACGAGGAAGGCGGGGAGGGTGTGCCAATAAGCCCGCTCCGTCGGGGGGTGGGGGTGGGGGGCGTTTCTGCACGCAAAGGAATGAAGACGCACGGTGATCTGAGAGAGGTCAGTCTGCCGGGGGTGCCCGATCCTTCTGGAGACACCAGGGCCAACCATCCATCCCGTTGGAGCTCTGAACGTGGGTCCGGGAGGACCTGGAGTCTGGTATCTGGTAGGGCCTGACCTTCGTTTGCCGAGGCGTTTTCGAAGAAAATAAAGTATGGAGCTGGTTGGAGTTGAGAAAAAGACCCTGCTTACGTGTGCGATTAGAAAGCAAGGAATGAGGGGGACTGGACCTCTTCGTCCCGCTGGACCGGGGAACAGTAAGAGTTTTAGATAAAAGTTAAGGGAGTAGGTGGAGCAGATGTGCTCTCTGAGTCCTGGCTGAGGAATTTGACAGGAGGGCGCTGAGGGAGGAGTTCTCCGATAGAAATAGGGGAACTGGCTTGCTAAGAGCTGGGCTGCTGCCTTAGGTAGTGAGTTCTGGGTCTTGAGGAGTTCAGGCGGACTCCAGAGTCCGGTATTTGTGGGGGGTACCAGATGATCTCTGAGGCTTTTGCTAAACCCAACAGCCACCACCAGCCTATGAGCCTCCTGCCTCTGCCCCGTTGCCTCCGCCCTCGGCCCCCTCCTTGCAGTCCTCGAGAAAGCTGAGCCCCACGGAGCCCAAGAACTATGGCTCCTACAGCACCCAGGTAAAGGGGGATGTGGGTGGCGCTTGGGGCGCGGGGCTAGCCCTGGGGCCCGGGACTCACGTCTCCCTCTGCTCGTACTGGGCAGGCTTCAGCTGCAGCAGCCACAGCCGAGCTGCTGAAGAAGCAGGAGGAGCTTAACCGGAAGGCAGAGGAGCTGGATCGGAGGGAGCGGGAGCTGCAGCATGCTGCCCTCGGCGGCACAGCCAGTGAGTGGATCCCTGCGCGGGTCGGGCGGGCATCTGACAGTTTCGAAGGAGCGAGAAGAAGAAACCCCAAGAGCATGCGCGCTGGGGCTGGGTTGCTGAGTTTGAACTTGGGCGCTGTTGCTCACGAACCGGGAGCTCTCGGTCGAGTCGCTGAATACTGAGTGTCCCCATTTCCGAACTTGTACAATGAGAACCCCGTTTGTACCTATGCGACAGGGATGTTGTGGGTGTTAGACAAGGCCATCTAGATAAAGCGCTTGGCACGATGCTTCAAAGTTGGCAGCAGTGATACTTAATATCATTCTTGCTCCTCACCCTTGTCTCCTTGGACCCCGGATTGGAGATAGAAGAGTGGGCCTGGGGGTGGAAGGGTGGGGGAGAGATTCCCTCCCTGGGCTCTGCCTCACTTCTGGGGTCCTCCTGCTCTCTCTCTGCCTTACAGCTCGACAGAACAATTGGCCGCCTCTGCCTTCTTTCTGCCCAGTTCAGCCCTGCTTTTTCCAGGACATCTCCATGGAGATCCCGCAAGAATATCAGAAGACAGTATCCACCATGTACTACCTCTGGATGTGTGAGTAGTGAGGGCTCTCTTTGGAGGAAGATCACAGGCAGCAGCTTGTACATCTTTTCTGTTCTGGAGCCGACTCACTGAGAACTAGACGTTTCACCTTTCTTTAGCAGTTGAGGTCAAGGCTCATTTCTCGAGGATCGTTCTGGGCAACTCCTTTTATAGGACTTAGAACTTATCCTCCAGCCTTTTAGCAAACGTACGTCCACCCTCTCCCCTTTCGCCTTGTCCTCGTGCCGAAATGGCTTCCGAATCCTTTAAATGTCTTTGCAAAGGAAATTGCACGTGACTGAGATTTGGTCGTTCTTCCTCCCCTGCTGAGTTGAGGGTCCCACGAAGGCAGAGCTGTCCCCCTTCCCTTACTCTGCCGCACGTGGCGAGGGCCGTGAGTGGGCTTACAGGGGAAGGAGCTTTCCCTGCATCCAGAAGGACCCATCGTCCTGTCCCCGTCCCTCAGGCAGCACTCTGGCTCTGCTCCTGAATTTCCTCGCCTGCCTGGCCAGCTTCTGTGTGGAGACCAACAATGGTTCAGGCTTCGGGCTCTCCATCCTCTGGGGCCTCCTCTTCACTCCCTGCTCCTTCGTCTGCTGGTACCGCCCCATGTATAAGGCTTTTCGGTAAGTTGGGAGGGGCTGATGGGGGAACTCGGATGGACCCTCCTTACCTACTCCCAGCCCTAATTCTTCTCCCCCCCGCCGACCACTTTTCTCCTTGCAGGAGCGACAGTTCATTCAATTTCTTCGTTTTCTTCTTCATTTTCTTCGCCCAGGATGTGCTTTTTGTCCTCCAGGCCATTGGCATCCCAGGTTGGGGGTTCAGGTCCGTGAGGCTGCCATCCACCCTCACCCCTTCCTCCCACTCTAGGCCAAGTCAGGGTACCGGGGAAGGGGTCGTTCAGCAAAAGGAAATGCGGTTTTCATCCTCGGGAAGTGCTAGGATATACTCTCCTGAGAGAGACGGGACATTCTCTCAGGAGAGAGAGCCCAGGCAGAACTGTAGACAGGCACAAACTGAAGGGAAAAGGGTCGGTCAATCTGAGAGGGCTTCCTGGAGGAGTTATACATGCCCCTGGTTGAAGAGGTGGGAGAACCTTCAACAGAAGGGTCTGTTTGGAGTGAGGCTGTCTGGAAGGACTAGGCGCTAAGGTTTCAGAAGCTGGGATTAAACGGCGAAGAGAGTGGATGTAGTTTGGGATTGTGCGCGGAAAGCTGCCAGGCTGATAGGGGAGCGGCCCGCTGTGGGGAGGGCGGAACGGGGCCCGTTTGGGACGTAAGCAGTGGAGAAGCTGGGAGCACAGACCCAGCGGCGAGCAGCCGCCTTCACCGCCACGCGCTTGGTCTTCCCAACAGCGGCTGGATCTCCGCTCTGGTGGTGCTGAAGCAGAACACGGCTGTGGCTGTGCTCATGCTGCTGGTGGCCCTGTTCTTCACTGGCATCGCCGTGCTGGGGATCGTGATGCTAAAGCGGGTAGGGCTGTGTGGAAGGTGGGGCCAGAAGAGTGAGATCATGTGTCCCCCGAGGGCCTGGGGCGGTGACATTCCGGAGGAGCTGGGGAGGGCCAGGCTGATGGACCTCTGAGGTGGGGGGTGCCACGGAGTAGAGGCTGGAGCAGCAGGCAGGGGAGTGGTGGGGGGGATTAGGTGGGAGCAGGGTGACCGGCTGGACCGAGCCGGCACGTCTCTGCCCTCCTCTTGCAGATCCACTCCTTGTACCGCCGCACGGGTGCCAGCTTCCAGAAGGCCCAGCAAGAATTTACTGCTGGTGTCTTCTCCAACCCTGCGGTACGAACCGCAGCTGCCAACGCAGCCTCCGGGGCTGCCGAAAATGCCTTCTGGACCCCGTGACCCCTGCCTGGGATGCACTGGCCCTGCCACTTGAGGGAGCTGACTTAGCCCCCATCCCTGAGGTCTCTGGGACTTGGCGAGACATCATTACTTGATGTCTCCTTTATAGTGCCCCCAACCCCACAACCAT